TCTTTCGCTATTCGGGCGGGCGGGAGGGACGGCAAATCGAAGCGCGGAAATGCCAGGCCGATTTTGGTTTGTGGCCCAAAAAGTGACATTCGTTTTGTTTGTGAGGTTGGGAAAATCGAAACGGGGCTTTTTGGGGCAAAACGGCAGTCTTGGGCCCGGGAAACCTGAGAATATCAAACAATATGAGCAATAGAAAATGAGAGAGCCTTTTTTGTTATTAAAACACGGTATATTATGCCCTTTTCTCGGCCGTATGAATAGTATTAAAGGTACTTTCAATGCCAGAATCTACCCTTTCCCTCGACTAGGTCTAGACAAGTACGCCGGTAATTCTAATTTTATCGGTACTTTCTGGCGTGTATTGACGTCACGTTTTGACTTGTTGTCGAGGCTAAGCCGACGGCAAGGAGGTCGATTCTTATCTTTTAAACGTATACTTCGTACTGAATGCAGTCGACCTCTGCAGTTGGCTAGGTCTGGACAATTACGAGAAACGCCTCTTACGTCTTCACCCCTGCTTGCTAACGTGCTTAGGCGTGCAACTTAACTATCTCGGCCTACTCGGCTTAAAGAGTCGCTACTTAGGTTGTTTCTAGTGTATATTATTTACTGTCATGCCAGAATCGACTCCTGAAGTTCGCCGGGTCTCGACCCCTACGCCGCGCTTCAAAATACGTACTATCTTCCACGTGGCCTGTAGTGGCGTATATGTCGCGATCTAGGCGACGGCAGGGGTCGATTTGGGCGTGCCCTTGCCACTTTAGTTGTGTGTTATACGTGATAGGTTGTTAAGAAGCCATCTGCCAACTCGAATAAAGTCATTTTCGTGAAAAGATGGTCTTGAATGTAGATACAAAACTACCGGCGAGAGGGAAATAGAGAGAGAGCGAGAAAGAGAGAGAGAGAAAACGATGGAGTGAGAACGAGGGAAAGAACATAGCGATACAGAAAGATCTGTTGAAGCCAGCTCCGCCTCAAAAGGTACTCATGAATCCGAAGTCAAAGCCCACTTTGGAGTTCCCGCTTCTCCTAACCCCGCTATTTTCGACATTTCCTTAGCGCGACCTGTGGCAAATTACCCCGGAAATAGCTCTTTTCTATTGCTAAACCCCCCTCGGCTTCATCGGCTATTTCCTGTCTTTTTTGGCGGGGGACAATTTCCGATTTTTTCGCCCGGCTTCAAGCCAACAACGTCCCGCCTCCTGAACAGCCCCGGGTAATTGAGCAACGAGCTATTTTTGAGGGGGTGGGAGGTAGTTTTTCTGGCGCTGAATTGTGTTAGGAAAAGGAAATATAGTATTAAGAAACCACAAAATTCACTTAAAAAAGTATTGAACAATCCAAAATGTGAGGTATGACCCAGTTGCGGATCGACCGTTTTGAAAATTTTCCGACCTTCACGACCCCTTTAAATACCCCAAAAATGTTTTGAAATTTTATAAACCTCTGATGATCCGCTGACAAACATTAACCTCCTCACGGTCTCTATATTGTAGAACTTTGGCCAGTGATTTCGCAAGACAACAATGATTATTGAGGAGAGGCAGAAGCTTGTAGGACTTCGCCCCGAGGACAGATTATCCTGGATCAAATAAAAGAACTGTTAGTCCCTGTCGCTCGCACTCTGGCTCTCTCTCTCTCTCTCTGTCTCGCAATCCCTCTCTCTTTCTCTCTCTATCTCTTTCTCTCTCCCTTTCTCTCTTGCGCTCTCTCTCGCCGGTCGTACTCTCTTAAGCTAGCGGTAAATATAAATAGATGACAAAAAAGGGGAGCCGATCCTTATTTGGGCATCAAAAATTGAGGTTCAATGGGACGGAGGTAAATAACAAAAAAAAACGAAGTTAGAGGTGAAAGATTTGGAGAGAAAGGAAGAAAGAGAGAGAGAGCGAGAGAGAGAGAGAGAGAGAGAGAGAGAGAGAGAGAGAGAGGGGGGGGGGGGGGGGGGGGGGGGGAGAAAGAGAGAGAGAGAGAGAGAGAGAGAGAGAGAGAGAGAAAGGGTGTGAGAGAGTGAAAGAGAGCGCTAGACAAAACCTTGATTAGTCATTTGGTTCAGATTTCACAATTCTCAGTCCTCCTTCGAGCTCTTAATCATTCTCATCTTGCCCTAAAGTACAGAGCCAAATTTCCTGAAGCTCAACGAATCAGGCTTCAGGCTTAAGCCGATCACAAGGTTGAGCATGACAACAAGGTCAATACTATGCCTGGAAACTATCTGGACTTAGAAGATGATAATTCCCAAAGGGCAATTCAGGTTCAGGTTTAGGTTCAGTTTCGAATTAATGCCATCTGAGTCATTAGTCATCGGTCATCTTACATACAAAAAATGTTGAGTTTATATTTTGTGCTAAATCAACAAAATGCATCAATGATCTGCCAAAAAAACCGTATCTTCGAGTGATTAAGCAAAAAAAATCCATTTTTCGAAAAAAACAATATTTGCTTGAGCAGAAGCGCCAACGCGATTTCGCGCGCGGATTTTCAAAATCCCAGCGTTGCAGAGACCGACACGTAAAGCTACTAAAAATTCAAATACTCAAAGCCACTGTTAAAAGTAATAAATAAGCTTAACCATATGCTAGTTGAAGCCGTCGATCCCCGTATTTGATACATTGATATCTTTGGAATCGGGATGACGTCCACAAAATTTGAAAATATAGGCCAGATTTGCCCAAATAAAGGCCACGGAAATGCATTGGGCTCTACTGTGCAGATTTTTCAAATATGACCCAGGATACGTTTTTTTTTCGGGCGTCAATCGCGATGCATTGTAGCGTCAGAAAATTAAACACGACGCGCACGCGAACTTTTGCTACTCTGACAACAACGAGAGTTTAGGTGGACAGTAGCCACAAAAGTTGTAATTATCATGATAACGTAAAGCCCTACGAGCCTCAATCCGTTGACCCTCGCCTCCTCGTCCTCCCCGCTCCAGCCGAGGGTTGTCGGGGGGCACTGCATGTGTGGGGGGCCCAATCAAGTGAGAGGGCTCCATTTGGCCCATTTCTCGTCTTTTCCACTGGGTCCCCAGCTATGGCCCTAGAGAGACGAAAAAGGGGAAGCGGGGAGGAAGGAAGGACCCCCAAAACATGGCCCTCTCTTTTTTGGAGGAGGCTTTTCCCTGTGTCGAGCCTCAGCCAACCAAGCCAGTTATATCGTTGTCGTTCGGGCAAGAGGAGGGGACATTCAATAGGCGAAATCTCGGGAGTTGGGGTCATGGAATCGAGAGAGGAAAGGGTTACGGTAGCTTGGAGACGTCGGGAAGGAGGAATCTGAGAAGCGACAAACAACCCCCGGGGATGGAATTCAAGAATTGAATTTGAGAATGCAAAAAAATGATGAGTTCATCATGGCCAAGATCGACAATGCGAACTGCAAAAAATTCTATTTTTTTCGCATTAAAGATCGGAAAATCCAATTCAGTGCACTTTGAGGTTGAATTTTGCACTTTTGGATTCTAGTTTTCTCTAATATTTTCTCACCTTGTTCAATTATGAACTAAATTAACAATCTGAACTAAATCTCTCTATATTCAATTGCTAAAAAAGCAGTTTTTAAAAAAACTAGGAAGCAATAAATTCGATCCCTTCTTTCGACTGGGTCGACAACCACTCGACACGCCAAAACACGTGTTCGCATTCGAATTCCAACATTTTCCTTACGTTTTGAATGCGTGCTTTGGAGTTACGCGTAGGTGCAGACACCTAGTGGATCTAAGAAGTCAGTTTCAGCCCTTCCTGAGCCCTTTGAAGGGCCTGAGAAGAGAAGACGAGACGACACGCACTGTCAAAGATTACTGTTTGCTGGGTTTTTTGGGCCATATAGGTCCAAAGAAAGCGATGGAGAGAGGCAGGGAGGGAGAGAGATAGAGACAGGCAGAGAGAGCGAGAGAGAGAGAGAGAGAGCACGAGAAGAAGAGAGAAAGAGAGAGAGAGAGAGAGAGAGAGGGAGAGTGGAGAGAGAGGAGAGAAAGAGAGAACTCGAGAGCGAGAGATCTATGGAAAGAGAAGGCGAGACAGTCCCCAAATTTTTTGCAAGATCTCTAATTGAATATCTGCAGCTACACCCTGGGCTGAAACCTCCAAATGAACTTGAAGCTGTCCAACGCCATTCGTCAGTAGTGTGTAGGTGGTGATGATAGTCTTGGAAGGGGTAGATGCTTGTGAAGGTCTTGCTCCCCCTTTTTGCAACCCCTCTAAATTAGCGTCATGTCACCGCCAGAATTTGGAATTGGAAAAATGGAGAAATCGGCCGGCCGGGTAGCTTTGATGGAGTGCATTGTTATCGCTTCTCTGGGTTTCTAATCGTGCTTTGGTCTCTCTCTCCCTTTCTCTCTCTCTCTCTCTCTCTCCCTCTCTCTGTCTCTACCGGTTGATGGTTCTGCTTTTTGAGAAATTAGGAATGCCCTCATTGGGCGACATCTGACACGGAAGAGGTGTCACAGGGACGGCGATGAGAACTGGGTGTAGGGGTGTCAACAGCTTCGGAAAAAAGAGTGGGTGGAATGAGGGGTTCCGGGCTGTTTTTAGCGTCTTAGCGTCCTCAGGGAAGACACGATGACGTTATGCAATACCAGGACGTCGTTCGGTTTTGAGAATTTTTGGATTAGCGTTAGAAGACCCATTAGTAGTCAAAATTTTCGACGGGGTAACTAGCAAATAACACTTAGGAAATATTTGTGGAGCCCCTGTACCAAAATTGAACATCGACATAGTATTAAAACGGGTAAGCAAGTTACCATGATCGACCCCCTATGGCCACTAGGTCTCGAAAACTGGACGGATGCCCGAAATTCAGATGTTTGTCAGCATATCAAAACAGAAACCAACAATTTTAGCAACAAAATCATTGGAAAAAACGTTTTTGGCCTGAACTGCATAGCTGTCGAGACCTAGTCAACGGAGAGGTCGTTTGCTGTGCTTCCCAGCCCCTTTAACCTTGTAGAAAAAATAAAAATATTTATTCAAAGCCTTGAAACTAATTTTTTTTTTGTATTTTCCCTACGCGTCTTCCAGGGTGCCGGTCGAAAAGTAGAATCTATACAACGCTTTTTCAACGATGGCCACTAGAAGGCCGGCGAGGAGACCGAGGAAGAGCAGTAAGAATAGCCCTGAAAAATTAGCATTTTTGTGCAGTAGTCGAGCTATTGAAATACCTCCCATATGATCCAAGCCTAGCGGCTGTCCAACCATCTGACTGCCTTCTTCGCATTTGCTAAAAATTAAGTTTAAAAATAAAAATAAAAATTAAAAATTTTCGGGTTGTGAATACCGCATTAAATGGCGTTATAAAACGACTTGCCGCTCAAAGTAATCGGTCGTATAAAAATTACAAAATGCTTTTCTTACTTTTCATCGGTCGTCGCCCACCACTTCTTCTTCAGCATCATGATTATCCCCTTTTCGTTGAAATCCAGAATTTGACGGGTTAATTTTTCACGCCATTTGGAACCTAATACGTTTCGAATCAACAAAAATCTTTGTATACCTTTAGGTAATGCGATGCTATACCCATTTGAGCCGAGCACAACATTGCCAACTTTTGTGAGATTACAATTCTGAGCTACTCGGTATTCCAGGGAGGTGGATTCCATCAGAAAAACGTATCTGAATTCGAGTTTTTGAGAGAGAGAGAGCGAGAGCGAGAGAGAGAGAGAGAAAGAGAGAGAAAGAGAGAGAGAGAGAGAGAGAGAGAGCGAGAGCAAGGTATGATCCTTACTTTTGCTCCAACGTCCTATTCACACCCTCATCATTTTTCTGCACAAAACTAGCATTCCCGTTTGCCGCCATTTTCTGCCAGATTTTCTCAAAGGTTTCGATCCGCGAATATTTGAAAAATTGGGCCGTAGATCCGCCAAAAATCGCTCCAAATGTATATTCCGATTGATTGCTCAGGTCCTCGAAGGACTAAAAGGTATACAAAAAGTTCGTTGCGATAGATACTTACGTTAAACGGCATACTTTTGCGTTCTACCGTTAGAACGGCCGCAAAATTAGCGGTATACTGGGCGATGAGGACGAGCGTGAAGAGCCACCAGGTCTAAATAAGCTCTAAAATTTGGTTATTTAATACAAAAAAAAAGTTTAATAGACGCCGATTTAATACAAGTTCAATTTTAAAAAGCATGGAAAGGTTATATCGTGGTTTACCGTGCTAACGATCTTCGAGGCAAACGTCGCGCATCCATACCCCGATGAAGCTCGTAAAAGAATACAAGCAAGGAACCAAACAGCGTTCTAAAATTTAGTCCGTAAAAATTATTTTTTTCTGAAATACAGTAAGAGAGAAGCCGTGCTCATTCTTCTCCTCGCCGGTGACATTGCTGACAAAAGTCAGAATCATGGTAGTGAGGAGGCCGGCGACCAGGGCGATGGACCAGGCTCTAAAAATGGCTTTCTATTTTCTCCTTAAACAATCGGGAATTATACCCTTTTTCTATCTTGTTACCATTTTATTCATGGATTTACGAGGTTACATACCTAGAAGTCAACGGCAATAAAAATGACGTAATCGGAGCGCTCATTTTCTGATCCGGCTTGCGCATCAACATCGAAATTCCGAGCTGCAGGAATGGGTCAGTGAAGTCGACGACCTAAATTAAGCGTTTATAGCGTTTTTTTCAGAAGGTTCTAGAAGTTTTGACGTACAAATCCCGATCTTTCGTTGTGTTACCGGGAAAATTTGGTTTGTAAAGCAGAGAATACCTCCAATCTCAATGCTGTAACGGTTATCGGCGCCACGGCCATGTCTGCTTCCTAAAAAAGCAATATATTACCGTATTTAATAACTATTAAAGTTATTCAATACAAAACACTACCCCTGACAATATCTCCCCAATCATCCCATCCCAATGTGACGCATTTTGCTTCGATGGTTCTCCATATTTTCCATCAGCCACCACGCTCAACTCGAACTCAAAGTTCAGATTTGCCGCCAAACGCTTTAATAGGTCAACGCAGAAGCCTAGAAGTTCTTTGGTTAACTTTTTTTAGTTATAGAAACTCACCAACGTAAACCACCTCTCCGCTTGGAAGTACTTTTTCCATGACGTATGGTTTTTCAGCTATGGTAGTCACCTTTAGAACTCGCATCTAATGAATTTTTAGCCATCAAAACAGTTAAAAATCAATAATTACCGATTTTAATTGTTGGATCGCATGTTCATGGGTATAGGGTATGGAATTGGCTTGCATCTGAAGTTTTCGTTGGGTGCCATTCCAAGTTCCAGTCTAAAATGGGCTATAAAGTACTTTAAATGGTGTATTCTGCTTTTACAAAGAAATACCTTTTAAAAACTGCCAGTTTTTTACAAAAAGACTCGAAATTACCTTGAGATTCTAGACTCGGGTTCGATCCCAGATTCCGGTTGAAAACCTGCCTTGCACATTATTTTACAAAACTATTATTTTAAACCTTATCCTTATAAAATTATTAAATAGTCAATCCTTATTAAATGTGATCGGAAAGTATGAAAAGTGCTCAAATACCTCTGACCACAACGAATTGTCATTGTCATGCCCATTTTATGGCCGCACCCCGGTTCAATTTCCAATATTGCGGGCAGCCCTACTGGGGGAAAGGCCTCCCCTCTGCCCCGATCCCCGTGACTCCTTGGCGCAATGGTAGCGCGTTCGACTCCAGATCGAAAGGTTGGGTGTTCGAGTCACTCAGGGGTCAAAATTTTTGCTTTTTGGAATAGAGATAGTTTTCGGGTCGCTGATTCCGGAAACCAAGGTCCCAGGGTGTAGTCTCCATTTTAGAGCAATTTTAGGGCGTCTGAACGCGCGAACTTACATGTATCGGCAATCCATGAATGCCGAGCTCCCAAATTTCGATTATTGAGGCGTTGACGGGCAAATTAAGGGCGGTAGAATTTTCTTTGGTTTTTCGCTCCTTCGTAACTTTACAAGCATAAATTAGGCTTTCTAGCGCAAGAGTAAAATCCCTTCGAGGGGTTTTTAGGTGAAGCGGATATGATGTTTTCCAATCCTGATAGGCTTCTTCCAGTACAGAAGTTCCGGATGAGGAAAGGCCAGTTTTATTCTTGCCTAAACATCTTTAAATTGAGCTTTTTTTTTTTTAATAAGCATAAATACAGCTTTAATCGATGATCATCACCTGCCAGTAAATTTCTTGGCATCACCAAGGAAATTCTCATTTTATTGTGTGAATACGGCTCCATATGATCGTAAAGGCTATCCTGTAGTTGATAATTTTTAACTGACAGCAAGTATTGTAATAATTTACCAAGGAAAACAGCAAAAACCAATTGATCGAATTTATCAACCCGAGCTTCAAGCTCATATCCAAAAACTCGAGCGAATCCCGCGCGTCCATAAGAATGAGCACCCGATTCACTTGGTTCCAGCAGGATTTTCTAGACAAAAAATATCTAAAATTTCTTTTTTTTTACCTACCGATCGCAAAGGTCCCTCAGCTTATTGGCGGCCATCATAAATTCTTCCTGGGTGTTTTCCTTGATTTCAAGGAAGTCGGGGAAAACATTAGGGCGGGTGTGGATGATTTCATGGAGGTGGCAAGGCGCTGCGTTACCCTATTTTTGGAAATATAAAATTAGTTACGTGTATCCGGCGAGAAAATGACGGTATATTGGGTCCATTTCCATTTTTCCAACAAAAGAGTGAGAAGCTCATTATCGAAGGAATCTAAAAGCGAATTTAGCGCCTTCTAATGTACCATAAAGTAGACAAACTCGTTTTATCAGGTTTATCAAATGTTCTGGCATTAGAGTATCTCTCTACCTGTCAAAGGAAACGTTGTATTGGCCGTCGGTTGCACAAAATCGCAATGCGGTGCCCTTCTGATGTAAAACATCTTCCGCTCAGCGCAAAGCCCCTCCAGAACCATGCTCAACCACGGATCAGCCGGGCCGATGATCACGTCCAGACCGGCGGCATAGAGACGATCGACTGAAAATATCTCTTTCGCTATAATTTAAACATCAGGCTAGGTTTTTAACTGGTAAAAATACATTTATCTGCCCTACAGAAACCCGTAAATACGTCAAAATAATCGATTTCTATAAATACCCTACATTCTGTTCTCAAAACCTCCACATCGCTAATAGGGACCAGTAGCACGCTCATCTGACCAATAGAATAATCCGAAAATTCAGGGATTTCGCGTTTATTGAAGACCCTAGCCAGCTGGGTGAGCGCCTTCTCGATGTGAGCCTCATCCTGGTCGGAGAGAATTGCGCCTAAACGTCTTTCTAGATAATTCCTAGGCCCTACCAATGCGTACTGAAACTTCTGCTGTATCTATTAAGCGTAGAACCAGCAATAAAAACAAAAAGCTGGCCATGCGCCGAGCCGAACCAGCCATCTGGCGTTCTGACAACTCGGGCCCCTAATTGCTTGATTTCGGGAGGCTAAAGGACTGCTAATCGGGCCCAAATCTTCCCGTCTAGCTAAACGACAAATCGGCGAGAGACTAGGAGATGAAGCCTGGGAATGAATATGCTTGGACAATTTACAAAACTACGTTTTCTATCCCCATAAATTTTCGAGAGCTATACTTAAACCAGACGGCCGGTGTCATGACGTCAGCCAATGAAGTTTACAACTTTAAAAACTATAATTTTTTATATTTTAGCAATATTTTTATCTTTCGATTCACCTTTGAGATTTTTGGAAAATGCAGGGCCACTGTACACAATGCACCTATCTACGGAGAGCGTAATGTGTTGTCTGCGGAACAAAGTTTTCCAAATTTTCAAAATTTCTTTTCCAGAATGTTTCGCATTTTCCATCATTTTTCATTTTCTACTTTCGATTTCTTTTTCTTTTGTTTTCTTGCTTTCAAGCATTTCTCTGTCTTTTCCTCGTTGGACTCTCTTGTCGTTTGAACGCCCCTCTTTCGTGCGCCTTTCCCTGTTTCAGTCTCTGCACCGCCCGTCTCAGGTTCAGCGTAGCCCTTCGTAGCTCTCGGCAAAGGAATAATTCTTTCAGTGCGTAATTTTCAAGTTTAAAACGGAAATTAGAATTTTTACAATGAATCCTTCCACTGAAAACTTTTCTTACCTTCGCCGCTCATTCTTGCCACTTCTTGCCAGCGCGCTTTTCCTTGAAACCACCTTTTTTGGCTCGTTTTCTTATTTTCCCGTTTTTTATTCAATTGATCTTTCTTCGTTACCAACACTTTTCTTTCCAGGGGTAATCATGGCGGCACGCAAGATTGGCTTCTTCGAGAAGCAGGCCAACCTGCTCGGCGTTCTCTACCGCCACCAGGCCAACCAGTTCCCGCGACGCTGGGAGCTCCTCAAGGTTTGTTATTTTGTAAAATTGGTGGGACTTTCTTGTCCACATTTCTGCTTTAATTTTTTTCGTTGTAAAGCTTATATCTTTCGTTTTAGGGAGTCGCCAAGAAGGAGCTGGCCCCGCCATCGGCCGCCGATCTGCCCGCCATCAAGGCCGATTTCGCCAAGTTCGCCAACGCCATCCAGTCCGGCGCCTACAAGCAGCTCTCCGTTCGTGTGAGTTTTAGTTTCCGGGCGGCTTCTGGGCTTGTAGCAGCCTTTTTGACTTGAAAAACCACGCTTCATCTTTATATGAATCAAGATGTATATTTTTGAGTTCCGCGAGCGTTGTTATTGGATTTTGAGCAATTTATTTGTATTTCTTTCAGGAATTCCTCGCCTACTCTGCCGTTGCCCTCGAGATCGTCTTTGTGTTCTTCGTTGGTGAGATGATTGGCCGCAGGAACGCCGTCGGATATTTGGTCAGTATTATCATAGCTATTTCCGGTTTAGAAACTCTGAGACTTCACGTAAAAACCCTTGTTTCTGGAACAGCAGCAGTGGAATTAGGCTTACTTCAAAATTGACCCGCTTGGGGAAACTTTCCGTCAATTTTCTCTCTCTCCGTTGTTGTATGACGCATCGGGCTGACTCAGAAAACAAGCAGCACCGACCCCTTTGGAAACTTGCGGGCCGCTATATTGGCTGTTGTTACGCAAGGGTTATTGACTATTTTGCCGGGCTTTTTAAAATGTTTTCATTCCTGAAAATAGGCCACACCTTTTGAAATTCCTTCCATCAAAAAACTTATGCCCGCCTCTTCATTTCTATATTTTTCATTTCCAGGTGCCCGCCGACTACGTCTCGAAGGAGACCCGAAAGCAGGCGAAGGCGCTCAAGCCCGCGGACCCGCACGCCTTCTAAGCCCGACCGATTGTTTTCCCCACCTCATATAGCCGATTTTATTTGTAGTTTTAAGCTTATTGTGAATGTCATTTCTTTTCGAAAATGTAATTCCACGAGGTTCCTTCATAGATAAAGATTTACTCGAAACCGCTGTGAAACAAGTGTTGTCGTGTGTAACGTGTCGTGACAATGGACCCCTCGTACTTCTAACGATTCTCTGGTGTTTTGTGTGTGGAAATTGGTGGTAGTGGGCGAGAGAATGCCGGTTTAGTCTTGCCGCCCGACTCGATGTTGTAAACGGGATGACGGCGGCGAAGAAGCGTTTTGTTTTGGGTAAGATTTAGGACTGTGATGGAGATAGTAGAGTGCTTTCCGACCGCGTATTACTTTTCCCGATTAAAATGATACTTTGCGAAATTGACTGCGCCGCGCGTCTTTCACAAAGGATGATTTTTATGAGAGAATCGGGATTTTGTTGTAACTAGGTTGCGAAGCTAGTGGAATTCCTGAGTTTGAAAGAAACGAAGAAAGATGAAAAGGGAAGAAAACGAAGCTCAAAACTGTCTCTTTCAGCGGTTGCCAACCACTTGGGCGGTGAGGAATGCGCGGGACCCGTCGGCGTATTACAAATCTACGTCGGAGATCGGTTGTGCGTAACCGCATCAAAAGATGGTGGGTTTACAAGTTAATTATCACTGTGAAAATCAGTGCTGCTTTGAAAATCAAAAAGCATGCAAACCAAAATTTCTTTAGGGTGGTGCTACGGGTATAAACTTGACGCCCCATCGAACCCAGGCTTATTTCCCGAAGCCGCGGTACGGGAGCTGAAAGCCAAGCTCCGGCTATCCAGCATTGTAAACGGGTTGAATGGCGACATGGAAGCATCAGTCGATGCACCTTCTGAAGGAATTCCGCTAGCTGCTGAGATCGAAGTGGTTTTGCAGGAATGGTGGGATAGAATCAAAGTAAGTATTGTAGCAAGCGTCGAAAACGGCGTCATTCTCTTTTCAGGATCTGTATTCCAAAAACACGGAACTCCACTGGATGGACGAGGTGCTGAACACGATCGACGAGTTGCTTTTGACGCGTAAGAAACTGCTTTCCGGTGGCGTGCCGTCTGAGGAAATTGCCCAGCTCACCACAACAACGGCCGCAACGATTGATCGCGTGAATATGTAAGTTAAAACGGAGAAATTGACGAAGAAGATTGGATTTTTAGGCTCCTGTCCCTGAACGTGTCGATTCGAAAGCCAAACGGGCAGCCAAGTAATGTGGAAAATATGTCAATGTTGGAATTGTATGAAGAGCACAAGAAAGCGCAGTTGAAAATGTCGGTGGATCCGGTAAGGAAAAACAATAAGTTCGAACCAAATGATTTTTAGAACGAAAACAACAACGACAGCGGCATATTTTCGATACTTTTTGAAGTGGGCTCGGTGACGATAAAGGACAAATACGATTGCGTGTTCATCTATCAAATTTACGATTTGACGAGCGGGATTTATTTGACGTAAGTTGCGACACAGAATGTTTATATTTCGATTTAGAGAGCCCTTTTCCTTCAAATGGAGCGCCGAGACGCAAAAATTGACGGAGCACGGCTCGCGGGCGCTTTTCTGCGACCTTTGCGAAAAGGATACCGCGAGAAAGCTGGTTCTACTGGGAAGAGTAATCCGAAATGCTCCAATTGAAGGCTCGGGAACGATGAAGGTAAGTCTTTGCTTGAATGGTAAGTTTTACTATTTACTTTTCTAGAAAGTCCCGGATCCGCAACATTTTTGCCGACAAATGACAGCTTTCGATGTGATGGATTTGCGCCCAGTTTTTGAGCGCAATGATGAGATTGAGAAAGTCGTATTTTATAACCGGTAAGCTAAAAAAAGGAAAATTTATGATTTTTAGTGATGACGCTCTACCTGCCACCCTGAAAAATCTAGCCGTTTGCGAGAAGTTTGAGGTCAAGCTGTCAAATATCATGAAAGCGGATGAGGATTGTAAAGCTGTAAGTGAAAGAAAGAACTCTGAAGGGCATATAATTTAGATGGTCACCCTCCAAAAACTCAACGGTCTTTCCGAAAGCCTAAACTCAAAGTATCCGCACGTTTTCTCGAGAAGCGTGCCGGTCAGCGTGTTGAGGACTGATCTCTCGATGGCTACGTTGAGCGGTAAGGAGATTAGACGACTTTTAGAAGCAAAAATCTATATAGAAAAACTGCGCAGCGACTTCTATCTTACGCTCGATTCTGCCGAGATTTATGGGAGGTTTACGGACAAGAATATCGAATGCCGGGTGTCACTTTTGAAGCCCGATGGAGCGCCGTTGGAGAGGGTAAGCTAAGAAACTGCGACAAAAAGTTAAAAACCTGTATTTAGAGCTTTCTTTTCATCGAGTCGGAAGACACGAGAAGCAGCTCTCATCAATCTATCGTTTTTCTGCACGACGAAAAGCCGAAGTATATGGAAACGATAAAGGTAAGTATAACGGTCATCTAGGGGCCTAAAAATTACTCAAAAACTGTTTATGATCCTTATTCTTTAGATCCGACTACCAGAAGGCGTTAGCGAGGATTTACACGTCAAATTCGTTTTCTATTCGCGAAGGCCCTACGACAAAAATAAGGCCGAAAAAGGCCCGGTGGCCATAGCTTACCTCAAGCTTTTGGAGCACTCGATCTTGGTGCAAGACGGCGAGCACGATTTGTTAGTTTACAAGGTAAAAAAAACAAGTAAAAGCAGAATTAATCCCAAAATTTCAGGTCGAATCCCAAGGCTACACTGAACAAAATGTAACCTATCTATCGTTTCCGGAAATGCGCTCTCATTTGGGGGCTTCAAGTAAGGAAAATCTTTCAAAGCTTGGGTTTTTCATAAGCAAAGTTCTAGCGTAAATTTAATCATTTTTTAGCAAAACCCCCGCAAAATAATCTCTTCTCACTGATGGAAAAGGGTCAACTGCTGGTCAGGACCCAGGCTTGTTCGAATATTTATACGCACAATGTGGATTTGCTGAATATTTTGCGATGGGAGTAAGTGAAGATAAACTATATTTCAGACTTTAAAAGGCCTAAAATATATAAAACCTTTTTAGAGTCGTTCAACAAAACATTTTGGAAAATTCGCTCGTTTCTCTGGCAAAAAGAGCTGCCGAACGGATACCAGAGCTCGAAATCGAGCTTATGAAGAATTTGGAAAAGCTGCTGGACACGCTTTTTGAGGTAAAAACTCTTCTCTACTACATAAATAACTATTTAGATGCTAAAAGCCAAAGATGCGCTCGAATTGCGGATTTTTGACGCGCTGGTGGCCGTTTTGAAGCTGGCTGAAGACCCGAGGAATCCCGCGACTTCACGGCATCTAGCCACCTACATCTCGAAGTTTAGATTCCAGACCGTGGCGCCGTAAGTGAAAACATATCTAAAAAAATCAAGGTTTTCAGGAAATTGATAAACTGCATCAACCACTATCTGAGCTCGAAGGACACCACGAAAAATGACAAGACGATGAGCACGCTGAAGCTGTTGGGGACGCTCGCGCAGTTGATTGTCAACAGCAAGCTGTTGGCGGATAGGTAATTTCGTAATTTAATGGAAAAACCACTAAATTTAGTATGAACAGGCTGTCAAAGCTTGATACCAAGATGATCAGGTTAAAAATTGAGGTTTTGCACTTTTTTGCGCCGTTTCGCTAAAAATCGCCAATTTTTGCCTTTTCGATCGTTTCTGAGAGCTTTGCGCTTAGCTTCCAAGGTCTTAAAAGTGGATAAAAGTCAGTAAAAGGTTTCTAAATAGGAATGTTTAGCATTCGCGACCCAATGCAGAATTTAGATGCATTTTTATGGTTCGCTAGCTAGATAACCGCCAATTTTTTTGCCCCTTTAAACTTTTCTTATAGCTTTATGCTTAATTTTCATGGATTTTCATGGAAAGTTGGAAATATGTAGTTCAAACGTTTATAAATCAGATTGCTTTAGAATGCGCGACCCCATGCCCGGATTTTCCGAAATGGTCGACGCAATGCTCGGTTCTTTCGTGCTTTTGATGTCAGAAGAGGGAGAAAGAATGCCGATGCAAAATACAGCTCTTCGACATCTCCCTTCAGCCATTCCACATCTAGCCCAAGTTTTTGACTCTACGCTCTTGACGTAAGTTCCAAACAAATCGACAAAACAAGCTCCTTTTTAGCCATCGCGTCGTGCACATCATCAACGCGTTTGGGCCGAAAATTGTCGAGCAAGAGCGGCTGCAATTTATCGGGAAAATCGTGGAGAGCGATTTGTTCTTGGTAACAAAAATTGAGAAAAATCGAGACATAAAATTTAGGACACAAATTCGCGCTCCAAGCTCTTCAAGGTGTGCATCGCGCAGCTTTTATCGTGGCTGGACCATGAGGAAATTGAGAGCAGAGAAACGGCAAAGTCGGCAATTGCGGCGGGCAGAATTTTGGGTATGTTGCAAAAAGGAGATAAAGATAGAAAGCTATCACTTGGTTCTCTAATTAAAAGCAAACTATGTAGTAAACTAAGGTTTAAGCCGTATATTAATACTTCGTTTTTTTTCAATTTCTCCGGATTCCCCTATCCAATTTCCTTAAAATTAATTTTATAAAATAATTTTTCCTCTCCCTTTATTTAAAACACAAAATATTTTTTTTTAGGATTAATTAATAAATATAAATTTGTATTTTAATTTATCTAAAAAATATTTTAGGAACGATGCTTGATCGACTATGGCCACTTACTGGCTTCCAAGAAGGCTACGCCGACGAGCTGGCGCTAATTCTGGAATACTGCAGTCGGCCCCTGATTCGATCATTGTATCTGATTTCGCAGTATCGAGCAGCTGATGTAAGTATTATTTTAAAATAATAGTTTTAACTTAGTTAACTAGCTTGTCTAGTTTTATATCTAGTTTAAAAACAAATCTTTAAAACGCCAATTTTCAGCTCGAAATCTCGGAAGGCAGAGGCCTGCTCTTCGCCGTGATTCTCGCCATTTTCAACCGGATCTCGGACACAATTTTCTTAAACTTTTTGGCGACGCGGCGATTCAATCAGGATCGAATGGACGTTATTCTGGAGCTTCTGCAAATGCTGCGCGATTGTCTGGGGAAAAGCCCGTATCCACAGACATGGGCCCAGATGACGTTGGCGCAGAATCGGTGAGTTTAAAACGATTAATTGAATCCGAAGCTTGTTTTAGTGTCGTTCACAAAGCGCTACGGCTGATCCATTCCGCCATAAGCCGCTTCTTCCCCGGCGAAAGTGTTTCTACCGAGTTTTACGATGTAAGTTGGAGCTCCAGGAGCTTTATTTCATAGTTTTGCACGTTAGTTCACAGTTTCCTAGTTTATTTTCGATACTCAAACAAAATTCTGAAGTCATATATCGTTGATTAACTTAGTTTCTTATAGCTTTCAACTTTAAAATCATAGTTTCGTTTTTAAACTTAAAATTAAGCTAATTTAGGAATCAGAAAAACTATTTCAGCTTGCGCAAGGCTACTTATTGACGGTCGTCTGCTTCATCAACCAAATCACGGTCAATCGAAACGGAGAACCGAGCAGAGAAGATGAACAAGCCGCCCATCTACAGCGCCAAGCCACAAATGAGATTAGAAGCATGTGGACCCCGATTAATAGTAAGTTTCCTCGCTAGAAAAAGTTTTAAAAGCTACTTTTTGATGGTACAAAACACCGATATAACAAATTTCAACCCTTTTAGTGGTGCACAAAGTCCAAAAATACACCCACCGATTGATCGGCTCATTCCTGCAAGTGGCCCTGATCCCCGATGAGGAGATCAGGGAAACGATGATCGTCATTTTCGTGGATATGTTGGAGTGTGAGCATGCGTTGAAGGGAAGTGAAGGTATCAAGAAGGTAAGAAAATACGATTTTGTCGCGAACACCCCCAAAATTACAGTTTTCCGATGAATTCGTGGCCCAACTCGATCGGCTGGTGATGAAAGGGCACGGGACCCGGTCTTTCCGAAATGATTTGGTGAAATCGATGATGAGCCATTGCAAGTGGGTATCGGAAAAGTTGAAAAATGTATTAATACTCATAATACAGCTACGAAAACTTTAAACAGGAGTTATTCATTCATTCCTAACTTAATTAAGGGTGGGAAATGGTTAAAAAATTAAAAACGCGTTGTAGAAATGTCAGTTTTTCGCACTACAGTTGTTACGACTATAGCGGCCTACTTTGAATATTTTATGTGTTTTTATGTATGAGCAAAAAAGTTGATTTATAGTCAAGTGTTATTAACTGGGTTTTTAACTATAAAGACGGCGTATTTTGAACGTTCTTTAGTATTTTATGAATGGCGAAAACCTAGATTTTAACTAATTGTGTGTAATTAAACTTTTAACGTTTAGAACAGCGGATCGTGAATAGTTTTGGTTTCATTTTTAGGAAGAAATTTAAATACAAGAAGGAAAACATCTTTTAACGACATTAAAACGATAAATTTTCAGAATCACTGAAAACTTGCCTGCCTTGTCGGAAGAAGACCGAATCTGGCGCACAGAAGTCGAAGCCTTCATCGACCGTATCCGCCGTCTCCTCGGCCACCTCTTCGAATACCGTGATGCCAAGGACGCCTCCGACTGTATCGAAATCGAGATGAGCCGCACCGTGCAGCTGATGAAGTTCTACAACTCGCTCGGACTGGCCGATCTGCACATTGCATATGTGTACAAGCTATACGAGCTCCATTCCCAATATGGGAATGATATCGAGGCGGCTAATACGCTGTTGATGCATGCCGAGAAGCTGAAATGGACCGAGGCGGAGGTGCCTGGATTTTTGGTGAAGAACTCGCTGAATCGGCATTGCGCTACGGAGCGGCAGTTGAAGGAAAACTTGTCGTTGAATATTGCCGATTTGTTTTCGAGAGGTGGGTATTAACTTACGAGATTTTTTTAAATTATTTAACATGAATTTTCAAATGTCTAATAGCCTTAAAATTATCTTCATTACGTGTCTAGAAGATGCTCAAATCCAGATTTCGGGAATTTTCTTGATCAACTATAAGAATTCAGTAGTGGTGTCTGTCCGTCTGTCCGTCTGTCTGTCAGAAGCCAACTATAACTCGAAGGGGAAAGGGGGTAGAGCTTAGGTCTCTTCGGATTTGGATAGAGCGTAGTCAGAAACCCCTTAAATGATCAAAAAATTATGAAAAAGTTTTGTTTAAATAAAAATAATTAACTTGAAAGTGGCGCCTTAATAAAACAGGCCTCTCCCGGAGCCACGCCCACCTCTTCGCCCCCTTCCCCAAGGCCCTTCCCGCACCCAGAGCCTTTTTGAGTTACTTTAATACTTTTTAATATGTTTTAATTATGTTAATTCGTATTTAAATCATTTAAAGTGTCGGGATGGAATCTAAGTAGTTTTTGAAGGGGATTTCAGCCATGGGGGGTATCTGAAGCCATCAGGAAGGTATTTTGGTAGTTTTGAAGGATTTCAGCCATGGGGGTATCTGAAGCCATAAGGAAGGTATTTTCGTAGTTTTTGAAGGGGATTTCGGCTGTGGGGGGTATCTAAAGCCCTCAGGAAGGTATTTTGGTAGTTTTTTAAGGTGGTTTTGGCTATGGGGGTATCTGAAGCCATCAGGAAAGGTATCGAAGTCGTTTTTTAAGGGGATTTCGGCTATGGGGGGTACCTAAAGCCCTCAGGCAGGTATCGAAGTCGTTTTTTAAGGGGATTTCGGCTATGGGGGGTACCTAAAGCCCTCAGGCAGGTATCGAAGTCGTTTTAAGGATTTCGGCTATGGGGTACCAAAGCCCCAGGCAGGTATCGAAGTCGTTTTTAAGGGAATTTCGGCTATGGGGGGTACCTAAAGCCTTCAGGCAGGTATCGAAGTCGTTTTTTAAGGGGATTTCGGCTATGGGGGTACCCTAAAGCCCTCAGGCAGGTATCGAAGTCGTTTTTTAAGGGGATTTCGGCTATGGGGGTACCTAAAGCCCTCAGGCGGGTATCGAAGTCGTTTTTAAGGGGATTTCGGCTATGGGGTATCTGAGCCATTAGGAAGGTATTTTGGTAGTTTTTTAGGGATTTCGGCTATGGGGGTACCAAAGCCCTCAGGCAGGTATCGATGTCGTTTTTAGGGATTTCGGCTATGGGGTACCTAAAGCCCTCAGGCAGGTATCGAAGTCGTTTTTTAAAGACCGTCAGAACGATGAAATTCCGTTGAGAGCAAGAAAGTTGCGCACCGGGCGGGAGTCGAACCCGCGATGGTTCGCTCCACAGTCCGACCGCTAGCCACTACACCACAGGGCAAGTGGGAAGGGAGTCAGAGACGCCCCAAACCCCAGGGGCTGCCCAGTAGGGCACCACTAAGACGCATCTCTCCCGCTTCTTGGGGGCAGCACCCTCGGGTGACAGTGCGCGTTCCATCGTTCTGGTAGTCTTTAAGGGGATTTCGGCTATGGGGGGTACCTAAAGCCCTCAGGCAGGTATCGAAGTCGTTTTTTAAGGGGATTTCGGCCATGGGGGTACCTAAAGCCCTCAGGAGATATGAAGTGGTTTTTTAAGGATTTCGGCTATGTGGTATCTGAGCCATTAGGAAGGTATTTTGGTAGTTTTTAAGGGGTTTCGGCTATGGGGTACTGAAGCCACCAGGAAGGTAGAAGTGGTTTTTAAGGAATTTTGGTTAGGGAGGTACCTAAGTTATTGAAGTTGTTTTTAAGGGGTTTCGTCTATGGGGGTATTTGAAGCGATGAGGAAGACATCTAAGTAGTTAAGGTATGTAGTTAGTCAGTTAAGTAGTGATGGTAGTTAGTATGGGTAGGTAGTTTAACTTTTTGCCGGGGTTGGCAGAGAAGGTTCTGAAGGTGGCTGGGTATTGTCAAGGTAGAGGTGTAATGTGGTGGCGTAAAACATGGAGGGTAGCCCCAAAGGCCAGCCGATTACAGTCGCGAAGCGGTTCGATACATTCTTCGATTATAAGTTTGCATACCCCAAAGTCATGAGGCCCATGAGGCCATGATTAGCCGAAGTGGCTTTAATCAGCTGGTAGTAAATAATGTTTACGATAGCTTTAACCTCATTAAAAATTTTCTAAAAATTATAAACAGTATTATCGACAGGTTATTGTAAATCTTCACCAATAGAACTTTTTCTAAATGCGCGTTTCCAGGCGACATGTGGGAAAACTCGATCGAAATGCTCCGCCAACTCCAAGAAGTCTACTACTCGATGGATTATGACTACGACAAAATGGCCGAGCTCCTCATCCACCAGGCCGATCTCTTCAAAAAGATCGGCAAAGAGAATCGAGCCTTTTTCTACTTCTATCTCGTCGCCTTCTACGGAAATGGATATCCCCCATTTTTGAATGGCAAGAAATTCGTGTTCCGGTCGGACCAGCTCGAGCGGCACCCGGATTTCTTGCAGCGCATGAAGCAGATGTACGGCAATCCGGAGACGTACACGACCATGGATGATTGTTCGCATTTGCAAAACGGGAATGGAAGGCATTTACAGGTTGGAAAATCCGCTGGAAGCATGAATGATTCTTTGGTAATATCGGGGGCAAGATTGGCCTTTTTACCACCCCACCATTTCGAAATTTTTATAAAAAACGCTGAAAATAGATTTTTCGACAAATAAAGGACCGGTTCGCGGCGAGTTTTGATGCTTACACTTTCCATAGATTTTCTAAGTATTTTTCGATGTGAAATATGACTTTAATTTTATAAAAAACAATACCAAATTTTATGATAAATACTATAAAAATGTTTTGCTTCTATTTTTAGGCATTTCCGGTTGCAAGGGGCAGAATTACCCCCGATATTGGAAAAGCTCCGAAAGAATTTACCTACATTTTTTCAGATCTTCAAAGTCGACCCGATCCCTCGAGACGTGGCCATTGGCCAAGCCGTCAACCCGGCGATAAAGGATTACTACCGGAACTACAATATCCAATCCTTTGAATATATACGGATCCACGGGAAAAAGGAGACGAAATGGACCGAGTTGGAGGATAATGAAATGCTGAGGACATGGGTGATACGAAGGGTCGTCCATGTTGAGGAGCCACTGCCATCAGCGTTGCGATTCTCGCATGTTGAAGCTGAACCGATTCCTGAAGAGATTTCACCCCTAGCGCTGGCTGTTCAGGTATGGTTCTAAAACATTAAATTAGAAGTTAACTAAAATTAACGAATTTAATGAAAGTCTTTTAAAGAATTCTAACAAAAGGGCTAAAATTGTGCTAATTTTCTCGAAATCCCAAGCTGTTTCGTTACATTAAAGTCGTAAAATTAGTTACTTTAATTTAATGGTATTTTCGGTACACATAGGATAACGGGGGGAAAATAACGGGGGGCATTATTATGAAATTTGCAATTACTGAGGGATTTTTGCCATTCGATAGAGCGTCGAAAAATATACTAAGAGAATAATTGGAAAAGTAAATAAAATTTTTTCGAAAAAAAAAAATGATCAAAATCCAGGGGGCACAAAGGATAACGGGGGGTTTTTCGGCGTTTTGAATATTTTCGATATTTGAAAATGCCATTCGATAGAGGACCGAAAAATACTAAGAGGCTTTTTTACAGCCCGAAAAAGCTTATTTAAAAATTTTCATATAAAAAGTTTGAGTGCCCCATTATCCCCCGTTTCCTTTTTTTTGTATTTTCTAATGCAAAAAAAACCCCTAAAAATTCTACTTTTCAGGGCATGAAAAACAAAAACGAGCGCCTCATCGAATCGGCCCAAAAAGTCCTTCACAATCCCCTGTTCTCCATTCGGAACTTTGCCGGAGACGTCCAAGGCGTCGTTCAAGCCTCCGTGATGGGTGGAGTGAAGAATTACGAGGTGAAAACAGCGAGATTACTCTGGCCAAAATGTGTTTTAGGTATTCTTCAGCGATGCCTGTGCTGCCATCATTGACGACGACGAGCGGAGGCTTTGCGACGAGTTGAGAGAGCTGATTGTTGAGCAGGTATGAAGCCTTTCGGATGAATTCAGATGATTTCTGATACAGAAAATTATATAAACTGGTACCTGATATAAAATGATGTACTTACTTTTCAGGTATCCATTGTGGAGTACTGCATCTACGCGCACGGTACTCGAGCCGAAGCGGACAAGAATATTCACAATTTCCTGATTGAGGGATTCCGGGAGCACAAGGGCTATGTTGACCGGAAGTTTGGGCAGACGGTAAGTGGCTTTATAAGTGTATGAATCTGGAAAACCAGGATACTATGTGGATAATCAGATGATATTAAGGAATGGAATCACAGATGCTAATTAAGAATCAAACTTAGACGATAAAATGCGAAAGAAAGAAATCAAGCAAGTATCGAGAAGATGATTGAGATGATAAAGAGTCGATATGCTATAAGATGGCATCGCGTGATAATTAAGAACCTAGCATATATGTGATGGTCATATTCGTTATCGGGATCAAAAAGGAGCATGAGAATGAGCATGCGAAAAAAATAAAGAATGAAACGATATGGTTAGAAGCATAAAACCTGATAAACTTATCGCTTTAGACCACCCGACTACCAGCCGGTGCCTCAATCTACAATTGTGCCGTCGAACCTCTACCAAACCCGGGGCTGGGTGAGAAGGAGAAGAAGCCGAGCTCGACAAGCCTCGGGGCACAGCTGTTTGCCGAGGACCCGAATAACAGCTCATTCACGTCGCAGTCGTCGATAATTACGGCCGGGTATGAAAACCTTGATATTCCTGGTTTTTTCTGATGCTCTTAATAGAGTTAGATCTGAGGTAACGGAAATAATTTAGCGCATTTTATAACTTTCCAGTTCAACGTTCAGCTTTTTCCGACGAATCGGGTATTTGGAAAGCCGAGAGATTAATAGTTAGAGCTTAATAAGTTTAGAAAGTTCTTAAGTTTCGATAGCCAGCGGACTACTCAGAAGATGAACACCAATTTCAGGTCGAACACGCTGAAGAAGGGCTTCCAGAAGTACTTCAATTCGGGGCCCAGGAAGAGCTTTAGCTCGCTTTCCGGGGTTGTCATCAAGTTAGTTTCACGATTTTGGAGGATACCTTAAATTATCATAATTTCAAAAGAAACTAGAGCTTTAACAAACGATACTTTTAAACGTGAAAGGTTCCAAATTTATCGATGCCTTTAGGCAAGCCGAGAAACCAGCCGAAATGTTCGATCGGGTGATGAAGACGGACCAGGTCGAGCAGTTGAAGCGCTACGTCAAAAACCACAGCCCGATTAACTCACCGCAGAAGCGACATAATAGCCAATCGTCACTCGATAGTAAGTCAGAAAAAGTGTATTTTAATTTTCACCCTTACAAAAGTCAAGTCTAACTTTCTGCAAAAATCAGTCCCTATAACTCAAAAATTCATATAAATCTCCCCTTCAGAATCCCAGAAAAGGGTCACATGGTACAAGAAGCTGGCCGACCCGCCGGCGGGAACCTCGTAATTATCTGGCTTGAATTATAATTTCTCTTCTATTAGTTGTACCCAGCTCTACCCCCTCGGATCCTCAGTTAAAAATTGGCCCTTATTAGTTTAACCCAAAAAGGCTGGAATTTAATTTTTAAAGGTTAAAAACGCCTAAAACTGATATTTCAGCCTCGAAAATTCGCCTATCTGGTACGCCAAAATCGCCCATGATGCCGCCGACGCCGCCGAGTACGGGGCGGATGTCGATGGACGAACAGTTGAATAACGACGGGAATGGAAACGGCACGTTAACCAGGAAGGCCATGAAGGTGGGTTGTCGCTATGTTTTTCAGTATTTTTCCTTATTTGTAAAATCTTTCGATGTTTAAAGGGGCACGCAAGGCATTTCTTTGGATTATTGACCATGTTGACCTCTATGGATTTTGCCGGGCCGCTGGTGGAGCCACTTTGTTTTCGCCGGAAATTATTTTCTCGAAGTTTATTTTGGACGTTTAGGTGGAGTATTCGTTTGTCGAAATTTCGATGCTTTTTTCGCCTTGTTTCTTCATCTCAAACATTTGGAAAATTGAAATATCACCGTATTGAAATTTCGACAAACTGTCTAGACAAAAGAGTAATTGGACGCTAGGCCACGGGGGAATGGACCTTAACCGATTACGCAATCAAATTGCCAACAGCGTGCGTAGCGTTGCGTGTCGCGATGCGTGTTGCGGCAGCCGCAAAATCCACAGCGTTGCCTTGCCGGACCCTTTAGAAAGGGTTATGGACATGATACAGCAGTCGACTATGAGCATCAGACCCTTCAAGCTATATAAAATATCACCTTACACTTTAGAAATATAGGTTTTGAATAAGAGAGGTAGCAAATCCTCAGGGTTCTCTGCCAGCTCGCCCTTGACTGCGTTTTTGTGGAGTTAAATACAGTTTTCTACCGTGTTCTGGATCAAATTTTGTTCAGAAAAAGGAACAAAATTTGTGAAAACTCTTGTTTTCAGCCGCTGCCTCCCATCTCGTCCGACGTGTAATTTTCTCGTGAAGCGTCCAGTTTCTTACTGTTTATTACTGCTAAATCCTGGAATAATTAGCCATTTTTCAAATTGCTCTTTTCCCCCTTTTTCATGTCCCCCACTGTAGCTACACTCCTCCCCGCTCATTCACCCCCCTCATATTCCGAATTGCTCCACTTATATTTCGGTTCACCACCTCCTCATACGGGTTCCAAATTTCAAAAACAATTCCGATTTTCGTTTTGTGATGTAAAAATCCTGTTGATCATTGCCTCAATTAGCCCTTTGAAATCTCCTCGAATTTTCCAAAATTCACGCTTGATCTGACCGTCTGATTCTAACCAAATATACCAAACGTACTTTGCCACCACAATGCTTTACGAGCAGCTCGATTTTTAATTGTGTATTTTGAAAGCTTACCTTGCATACGGTATTTTTATAATTTCACTTTTTATTCGCAGCAATACTTTGAATCAATCAGATTACGCATACGGACATGGGGTACGCGTCGTATTCGAATAGCCGTCGGAATCAAAAATTTCTTATTTCCGACCCGATCATCGATCGATTCGGGTCCAGCGAATGGGACGTCCGTATTCGTTAAACGGGTCACATCGGGATAAAGTGGGTTGGGAAGCGATATTACCAAGAAAACGGTCGGAAAATGGAATCAAGTAGTCAGAATATGCATAATTTGAATAGATTAGGTGCCAATTTCTCGGTCATTTCCGGTGGATGTGTCAATATTTTGATATTTACATAGCATTTCGTCTTCAATTTTAAATTAAAGATCAATCAAGTGATCGTAGCGAGAAAATATCAGAAATGACAAATACGTTTATGTACAAAAGGCGGGGGGCAAGGGGTATCGTACAGGAAAAAAATCGGTAGAAAAATAAATAGAATTTTGGCGCTAAAGGGGCATTATAGTGTAGAGTTTTGTGCAACATTTGGTAGTTTGTGGCTTTGCGAAATTAGTCGCATTAATAGGAGGTTTTGTAACCGCTTGAAGGGACGCTGTCACAAAACTGAGCTGCTCAAAAAATGTTGACTTGAGGAATTATGGCAGCCTCCCATTAGTGGCTAAAATTACGTTTTTTTTGCAAGCTACATACTACAAAAATCCAGCAAAACTACGGGCTCAAAATTTCAGCGTTTTTCAGCTTCCATTAATACGCAAAACTCGAAAATATCCTTATTGCCATGGCATCGGAAATGGGTTGTGGAATTGATCGGAGACCCTGAGGAAAGTATTGGGTTGGAGAGGCGGAATGAGAAGATGGCTGCTTCAGAGGCTTCAAGCTGGCTTAAGGCTGGCTTTATCTGCTTATTTCTTGGGTTTGATGGAGACGTTCTGCAACCGTTTGCAGTCACCGCAGAGCTGGGGGTCCTGGGATTTCTTAGGGGCGACGCAGAGGACGACTGGTCGGTTGGCGGTTTGGATCTGAAATCAAAAGGTACGGTTGAGGGACAGTATTTAGAATAACCTGGATCACGTTAAAAACCAAGCACCAAAAGCCTCAAAAACTAGAATTTTTTTAGGCCTATCTAGCTGATTTTTTACGAAAACGCTTAAAAGTCTGAAAAAATAAAAATCTGGGCCAGCTAGCAGAGGCAACCAGCAGAGGCCGTACCTGGTGCTCCATTCCGCAAGTGGCCGAAGAGAGGGCAAGATTGTTGTGCATCGTATCGAGAGGCTCCACCATATCGACAACCTCGTCAAGGGCCGGAGATACGGCCCGCATCGCTGCTCGTGCTGACATTTTCTGAAAAACGAAAAATTTGCTTCCGAAAATTTTGATGAATTCAGCAAAAAGATAGAAAACACAAAGAAAGCTACCAAAACTTGTCAATCAGGAAAAATGATCGGGAATGGACAAATAGGAGGCCATGAAAGTGCCAGCAGTTGTCTCGGCCGGTCATAAAATCAGGGAAATGTACTAGGCGACACCTGGTCAAGGAAAGTGATCGTTTGTGATTTAGACAGTGATCGAATCGCAACAGAATTTTTTTTGTCTCTTGTCAATTTATTGAATACCTTAAATAGGTGCCAAAATCGGGTAAATAAGAATTTTCAAATCACAGGGGTAAATTAACACTTGAACTGTTAGGTTGACTCCCTGATATCCTACTCCTACGCTATAGACTATATAGGTACTCCATGAGAACTTACTGCAAGGGTTTTCCCGGAAGAAAACTGGTTTTCTCATTGGGTTCATCATTGCGCTCTCTGCCTTACGGTTTCGGCTCTCTGGATTTGGCACCCATACCTCTTAGCGCTCCTTGGCGAGCGAGGTCCCCAAGCGTCGGTGGTTCAGTGGTAGAATGCTCGCCTGCCACGCGGGCGACCCGGGTTCGATTCCCGGCCGACGCAATTCCTTTTGTTTTTTGGCAATATGACATGGGAAGTAGGTGCCGATAGTAATAACGTTACCTTACACACAATTTCACTTTTTAAAACTTTAAGGTTACAGTTTTGGTCAAACCTAGAGTCTGATCGGGACTATTCTCTCGCTAATTCATAAAAAATTAAAATACTGACCTACTGTCCGGCCGGACCGGAGCAAAACTGAATGTTCCAAGTGGGCAAAACTGCAGTATCTACCCCCGGGGATGGCAACTTTTAACCAGTCCCCTTGACAAACGAACGGCCCCACCCATTCGTCAAAACCGCAGGCGTTCGTATAGTCTTCTGACCCTTTGCCTTTACATGAAGAGAGAGAGAGAGAGAGAGAGAGAGAGAGCGAGAGAGAAAGAGAAAGCCCGACAGAGAGAACGGATGTGAAGCCCCGGGGGGTCAATCCGAGCAGGAGACCAGGGTGGGGTGGGTGTGAAGTTGGAGTTAACTCCAGGGGATAGAAGAAGAAAAGGGCTTTTAAGTCTCAAAAAAAAATAGAGGCAGCTGTGCTTTGAGCCGCAAGAGCAGGGTTTGATGGCGTTGTTTGGGGGAAAAGCTGGGGTATTCCCGTGGGGTATATGGCTTCGATGGTCGGTGGGTTCGATTCTTAGGCTGGAGAGGGGGGAGAGGATTCGAGAAGAGCCTCGGATTTAGGCCGAAAATAAAAGGGAAGCGGTTTCAGGCACTTGGAAGGCTAATGGCGGAGCGGGAGAGAGAGAGAGAGAGCGAAAGAGAGAGGGAGAGAGGAGAGGGAGAAGATAATGGGTGACTACAGCCGGCAGAAGTACAGGTCTAAAAGCTCTAAAAATGTCAAAGGAACACGGCTAGAGAAAGCGAGATAACAGAAAGATTAGGAGAAAATGCGGTTAATCCGGTTACTCCGTTTCAAAATCCGTTAAAAGGTAGAATATCTTGTTTAATCTAAGGCTAGATAAGCCAAGAACCAGCTGAATCGTTGGCACTTCCCAGCTCCCCCAGGGCATTCAGCTGAGCCTCAGCCTCCGCATATCCTACCCAAAACCCGTCAAACCCCCCTGACAAGTCCCTCCAGAGACCGATAGGGTGTGCGCGCGTTCACTTCATGAATTTTCGGCACCGGAAAACAAAACAAAATATGATCTCTGCTAAAAAAACGTTGAGACCGGAAGTGTTCGGATGGACTCGTGACGGTGAGGTCACGAGGATGAAGTCGGGTAAAGACGCACGTTTCGTTGCATAAAATTTCCGGGTGGTTCCGGATTTTACTTTGACCTCAGGCCGTTATGAGTTTCGGACCGTACCTGTAACAGAAGAGATGAGCGAGGGAGAGAAAGAGCGAGAGAGAGAACGAGAGAGAGAGAGAGAGAGAGAGAGAGAGATAGAGAGCGAGGCAGGTACGTCAAAAACACAACTGATGAAAATGTGGATGACGGCTTTGCATTGGAGCTTAACTGGATATACCTTTCTGAACTATAATAACTTTATAAGGTTTTTATATTACCGCAAATCGCAAACTACCGCAATACCGAAAAAACCCATCGTAAAACGGGCCTAAAAAGCTTACAAAAAACTACTATCAGGAAACTGCGATTTTTCGGGATTGATTATCCTATTTTTCTGCAGCTTTCTGATTTTCAAATCGCGCTCTGACCCCCGTCTGAACGTTTTGGACTCCTTGACCCGGTGTCAACCCTCAAAATCTTCCCAAAGCGAGGTGTCAAAACTCAAAACCGGACCCTGCGGTCGCAAGGTTAGACCCTCCAGGGAATTTGCAGAGCCTTTAGAAGAAGCAAATCCGGAGGAGGCGTTCCCCAGGAGGTCAAAGGGGAACAAAAACTCGTTCCCCGATCTCTTGGCCCCTTTTTCAGGGCTAATTTATTGAGCGCCAAGTCTGGGGGGTGGCCACGGAAATTGAAAGAGGTAGGAGGAGGAAGCGATTTTCGTGGACGATAGCCACGGATGGCTGGAGAGGAGAATTTATGTGATGTGGTTGTGGGGGTGGAAGAAGAGCAAGAAGAAAGAAGAAGGTACAGCCAAAGCGGAAATGCTGGAAAGCAAAATAATCAAGAAAATGGAAGAAAAAGCTGCGGATCGGTCGCAGCTAACTAACCAGTTACATTTTATAAATAAAAGCCAAATGGAGTTGTAGAGCCAAATGCGGCCAAGTGCTTAAGATGCTAATTTAGCTCCGTTTCCTTGGCTTAATGGTCCTATAAACGCCCGTCGTGTATAGGGGTTTAATCTCCCCCCCCCGGGAAAAAGAGGGGGGAAAAAAAAAGGGACCCCCACCCCCCCACCCAAAGGGAGTGGAGGGCGAGAAAAAAATTATAATTTTTTTTTTTTTTTTTTTTTCCCTTTGGGGTGGGCGCCCACACGCCCCCACGCGGGTTTTGTGTTGTGTTGTTTGCCCTGGAGAATCCAAGGATTTTGGGGATCTGTGGGTTTACCAAAAAATCTACTGACAGTGAGTTTTTTTTTTTTAAAAAATTTAAAAATCGGACACGTACGCTCTGAACTATTGCGTTACGCGTTACGGGCGCGGCTAAATTACATTAAAAAATTCAGGATACCGTAAACTATAGCCGTTCCTTGTCAGGCTCTTTAATGGAATCAAGTTGGCACCAAAAACTGAAATGCA